GCTGAATAACAATAAAATGTTAATAGAAGAATGTAACTAGAATTTTACACTCAGAAAGTGAGTTAATTAATGAAAATGTGTTAGTGATGTTTTTTTTTACATTTTATTTTACACTTGGCGCCCCATATATGTCTTGTATTCTTTGTAAAGCTATAATTTGAAATGGATACTCTTTTATATTTACCAGATACATTAGACACATTTGCACAAAGTATTAGTATTGGATCAGTATTGCCAATACCAACCTGAGTTTTACTCAGTATTAGAATCGAAAGGGAATCGGTGCACTACTGCTGGAGTATGTGTTGTGTAGAGCAACAAATCAAAGACTGGAACAATTTTGGTTGTATAAATTGTGAATGGAAACCACTTTCCTTCTGCAAACTTAATTGTGCATTGCAAAGTACCTTTTTTTGATATTAATGTGAACATGTGCTCTGTTTAGGTGCAGCTCATAAACGATGCCTACAACTTAGTGGTCGATGCCATGCTGGGTCTTGAAGAAGACTGTTCCAACATTAAGGAGCCATATTCTGGTATATTGGCCACCCTGAAGCAAATCAAGATTCCTATTGTCAGTGTGGATGTGCCCTCAGGTAAGTTTTCAACAAAGATTTGATGCCAAATAACAAGATACAAGAATGCTTGGAACATCAGTGCACAGAGTAAAAAAAGTTTTCCGAGTGGATATGCACACATGGAAAATAAATCATGTGCCACTGTCAACTCAGTTTRAGTTCATCACAGTCCAAAAGCTCTATGAGCTGAAAACTCTATAAAAGAATTAAAAGCTCCCTYGTTTCTTTTACAGGTTGGGATGTAGAAGAACCAAGTCAGGATGGGATAAATCCGGACGTTCTCATCTCTCTCATGGCACCGAAGAAGTGCGCATCAAACTTCTCTGGAAAGCATTTCTTGGCCGGACGCTTCCTGCCCTATGACATTCAGAAAAAATATGAGCTTAATCTCCCAGACTTCCCTGGCACAGACTGTCTCATAGAACTGTAACATATGAAAACATAAGAGCCAGTGGGGACCACTCTTCTCTTGTTTGTGTTTTATAGATTGTTACCATATTTTAATGTCAACATYGCAATTGTGTCATTAGCCAAACGTGCTCTTAAGCTGTACTATTATAGAAGGGTGATATTTAGAACCATGGCTTGAGTCCTGTCTTTTGAAGAAATGGCATGAGGAGTTTAATGTCAGTTGACTTGTAAAAGCTGTAGCATTACACTGTTTCTTATTTTTTAGAGTCAGCGGGGGKRAAATCRACTTTCTATATCAACWTACTGGAAAWAWWTTTTTCTTAAAATTTGTTTCAATGCTTCTTTTGTTCTTATGTTTACCTTATTTTATCAATGTGTTGTTGAAATAACAAATGGGATAATTAAAAAATATGGGTTTGTGGGTTTTTTTAAGTTTTGTTATCCTGGAACTTAGTTATTTTTGTTTTAGTTACCTTGTTTGTGTTTACAAAAGGCACAGATATTTCTTGTTGACCARTAAAAACGTCAGGTAGTGTAAAGTCACTGGTGTTTTCTTATTTAAAATGGCAACAATACCAATAAATTAAGATGCAAATGGCTGGAGCTGTWCTCAGTCTATTTCCTATATTAACTGCAAGTTATAATAAAACTCAAATGCTGCTTTGATGAGCTTACTGAGATGTCTTTTTCATAGTAAAGACCATACTTTTTGAATTCTGAAAACAAAAATTAAATTAAAATTATTATGGATCTGTCTAATTTTGGAACTTACCCCAGTCTTACACTACATCCACTGTACCACGGCACAAACTGCGGTAAAAACAAAACCTTTATAGTCAACGAGAGCATTTACATTACCTCCACAGGGCGACAGCATGCAAACGGCCAGCCCATCCAGCACAKCGAGGTGCTTTTCCWCCTACGAGGTGTGWAAATGGATGACTCTAGGTGCTACTTGGTCATTGCTGYCCTRGACCAGCAGTTCACCCACAGGGTTATGCCGCTGTTGCGTAACCCACAGCACGCTGGAAAATATGCTGCTCTCAAACAGCTTCTTCTTTGGAGGTACAGCCTGTCTTCTACAGAGTGGGCATTTAAGATCCTCTCMCTGTCTTGTTTGGGCGACAGCGCTGCTGTGGACCTGTGGTGATTTTGGTCATCGGCGCAAGGACTCATCGTGGGAGCTCCCTGTGTTTTTAYCACCGGAGTTTGGAGCAAGGCAAAGCAGTATCCTGCCAAGCATGTTCGGAGTGTTGGGAAACGTGGAGGCCGRCGCTYAGTAGCAGCTTTGGGCACTGGCAAATGAGGTGAGCTGCTCTACATTACAGACACCCTGTCAGGACACCGTTTTTTGGTTGTCTCTCGCTACTAGAAAAGTTTTGTCCACCCTCTCGGGCCAGACTTATCAGACTGAGGCAGTGGCCCGCTGTTAATTCCAGTTAACAGTTCTCCGATTAGAACTTTTGGCACTAGATGGACAACAGTTTCTTTCCACAGACATGAGTTTGAGTAGGACTTTGTTGTTGCCTCGAATACTGTTCCTATTATCAGTGCAGATGTGTAATGGTTTGTTAGTTGATGATGCTAACCGCAGATTTATTGATGCTGCAACTTTTGCCACTTTCACTTGTGTGTCTGGAGGAGCTGGACCGCTGACACACGCAAACATATTAATGTCAGGTGATATTTTTCCGTGTTTGCTAGTAAAATTTCCCTCTTTGATTACACCTGCCTTTTCTTCCTCTGCAACCTAACATGGGGTCGAGCCTTTCATCCCCACTACCGGGCYGCTGGTTTTTGCACATGTGCACCATCTTGGTAAACTGGCCATTGCTAAGGAGGAGTTTGGTACTATGTATGGAGAGGTTGGGGATTGTCAGGCATTCTAACAGCCCATGGACATTGCCCCTTCACACGGTACCTAAGGCAGGTGGATCCTGGTGCCCATATGGCGATTTTCGCCATTTGAACAATGYGACAATGTGATGACACCATTCCGCACATCAAGTTCCGGTGCAGCCAGTCATGTGCCCAAGACTGTGGTGATCYCCCCATTTGGGCTTTTAAAATTCCTTTACATGCTGTTTGGACTCAAGGGGGTGGCACAAACTTCTCAGAGGTTGATGGACTCCAYGTTGCGTGGTCAAAATTTTGTGTTTGTCTACCTTGACAATTTGGGGGCCAGCTCATCTACTGATGAGCACTTGTCACACCTCAAAGAAGTTTTTTGGTGTTTGGATGCCCATGGCCTGTTTGTTAATCTGGTCAAGTGCCAGTTTGGATTGTCAGTGATCAGAATTTATAAGGCTATCACAATTCTGCATGAGGCGCAGTTCCACTGCCTGCCAAGGTACAGGCGGTGGCAAAGTTCCCACGGCTGGTGGTGGGTGAGTCGTGGCAGGAGTTTTTAGGTATGGTGAACAGGTTAGTTCCCAGCTCAGCCTATCTCCTGCAGCCGTGTATGAGGCCATGCATTCAAGGAAGGCCACAAGTGCAGCTGTCTGGACTCCGGACTGGATTGCTGCTTTGGACAGTACTTTTTTGCATTAACAAATGCGACACTCCTCGCCCATCCCAACTCAGATCCCCTGATTGCCCTGAGAACCGACGCTTCAGATCTACAGAGAAGTGTGTTGGGGATGCATGACAGCTGCTGGCATTTTTCAGCCATAAATTGTGAGATTGGAAGTGCAAGTACAACCTTTTCAACCGCAAGTTGATGGCACTGTTTTTGGCTATGCGCAGGGCTCTCAAGTCTCATGCATTGAGCCTGACACACATGCCTCCGAGGGTTTTACACACTCTCACGCCACAMCCCCACTTTCTCACGCTGAGAACTGACGCCAAAAACTCAACTCCGGTCCAGTTTATCATTATAAAAATACAAGTATTGATAAAAATCCAATCCACGTTTTCTCCACAACCCGTGGTGTTACACACAGGGACATACCAGGTTGTTATCCAGTCCTTATTTTCACACCAACCTTCTCTCTACCTGTAAACAGCGGCTCTGTGGAGTGGGAGAAGACGGAGCAGCCTGGTGTGTGCCCCCTCCCACATTAAAAAAGAGAAAGAAAACAGGTGAGCCGCATTGGTAAAATGAACAAACATGTTAGAAAGAAAGAAGAAAAAGATGTATGGAGCAGAGAAACCAAGAGGGGACAATAAAAAAAGTTTGTGCGAGATGTAGCCAAATGAGTTCAATAAACAGATATTTTCTGAGATAAAGGGGCCGAGGTCAGACTGAAGTCAGCTGAGAGACACAGAGACCCAACAGAACCAGGCTAGCAGCTCTGTCTACATCCATCATCACAGCTCAAACCGATCCTTTCTAACTGTTGTGCACACAAATTATGTTTTTAATCATAGTTAAATAAAACCCTCTGTTCTCATGAGGATACACTGCATGTGCAGCATATCACCTGCAAACAGCTGGATCAGGGTCAGAGCCATGCTAAATAAAGGGATAACCCGGCTATTTATAAAGCAGGGCTGCAGGTCAAAATTTATAACAAAGACCTCACATGATGTTAGTGCTTGGAGGAAGTTGTTTTTTAACAGGGGCAGATATACGATAWTTTTCTTCTTCTTTTTGCACCTTTATTACTCAATAATTTATGTACTTTGATGTTTTAGTGGTTTTTGTTGGTTTTAAGAAATAAATTAATAAACACTCACAGCTACTTAAACCAGTACTTCTGAAGCCTCACACAGCAACCCCAGCTGCAAAAGACTTTTCTTCTATTCCAAGGGAATTCAGGGATTAAAATAATATTTTAATACAGCATGGCTTTTATGAGGGGGTCCCTTGAATTTTTCACTCTTGTAAGGGGTCCCCAGRCCCAAAATGTTTGAGAACCCCTTCCACTTGACCTATAGAATACTCACCAARTGTTTACTTGTGTAAAAGTCTGTTTAACAGCCTGATAAAATAMATCAGAATGCAGGAAATGGCATCTAATTCATTCAAGATTTTCTGAGGGAGGACCCTCAGACCCCCCACCAGAGTGATTTTACACACTGTTTTCTCCTTCATTAAATACCATACAGCCCTGATCACAATTGTTGGCCAAAGTCCAAATATGCAAATTGGACGATGACGTTATTTAGCAACTTTTAGGACAGCCAAAAGCAAATTTTGGCAACAGTGTTCAGTGGCTCGAAATCTCACTCCAAGCTCAGGTCAAAACTTGAGAGTCCTGGCTATGCAGCATTTTCATTTTTTGCTGGTGGGTCATTTGTTTATGGCTTATGTAGACCACAAGCCACTAACATTCGCCATGCCTAAAATGACTGAGCCCTGGTCAGCGCGTAAGCAGCAGCAACTGGCGGCTATTTCTGAGTTTACAACTGACATCCGCAATGTCACTGGAAAGTCCAACTCAGATGAGACTGTCTGTTGCGAGTACTTGTTTGTTCTGTGCTTCTCGGTATGGATTTTTCTGCCATGACCACTGACCAACCTGGGGATGCTAATACCATTGCCCTTTGCACCGGCGGTTCAGGCCTTAAGTTCGAGGAGGTCAGGATGGTAGAAAGAGGTTCTATGCTCCTGTGTGATGTTTCCACAGGCCGGCCATGCCCAGTAGTTTTGGCAGGTTGGCGCCATCAAGTTGGGTCCCCTGCCTCCATCACAGGGTTTCAGACATCAACAGTTGGTTGCAGGTTGTCCCTCTTTCCTCCACTGCAGCCTCTGATGTGGCTGGTGCTTTCCYCGCCACTTGGGTTGCCAGTTTTGTCCTGCCTTTGAACATTACTTCGGACAGAGGTACTCAGTTTATTTCAGGTCTCTGTTCTTAGATGGCGTTCCTTGGGGGTGCAGGTGYACCGCACTACTGCTTACCTGCTTACTGCTTAACAGGTTGCGTCATTATTTCCATCGGTCACTTAGGGCAGCCCAAAATTCACCCCTCCAACTGCCTTATGACAGTCCATTTCGGGTGCTCAAAAGAGGTGTATGTGTGTGTGTGTGTGTGTGTGTGTGGGGGGGGGTGGTCTGTGTGGTGTATTGGTTGGTGAGGTGAGGTGCCTCTCAACCAACAGGACTGGTGTTGGGGGCGTGTTCTTGAGCCACTTTAGCGGAATGTTGTTTTGTACTGCTGTTCTGCTTTTGGCACCGAAGGAATAGTTAACTGGTTTKATATCAGTTTCTGTGTCCTCCTTCTCATGCTACAAAATAATGCAGCTTCTCTGCACTCAGTATATTTACCTATTCTGGAATGAATGTTTTGAAAATATATGGATGCAAAAAAAAACGTTGAACAGCGATAAGGTTTCATWTATGGTTTAGATTCCGTCTTTCCCAGAACTAATTGTTTTGTTCAGACTTCTGCATTTATCATTGGCTTTCTCACACAATCTTGCATTTCGCTGGACTCCGCAGTGGGGTCAATGCAGAGTAAATCCAGAAAGGTCAGGAATGGCAGCTGAGGAGCGGAGTGTAAATTCGGTAATACTCTGCATTTTGACTGTTGAACTGCCCTCATGTGGCCTTAGGATTGAACTAGAGTAGCTTATAAGCAACACAAGTGAGCAGAATAACTCCTGCTATGTTTAACTCACATTATTTCTTTCTAGTTCATGCCATTGTTTGTTTTTATTTTTATTACTTTTTGTCTTCAAAGTTAACCAAAAGCTTAAGGTTCTATTTTAAAAAGAAAGATT